ATAAGAGTTGTATGAGCCCCTAATAAAATGATTTTTTAAAAATACATACATATATATATATATATATATATACTGACTAGTGCCATTTCAGGAAATAAAAATCAAAAAATTAGGTTGGAAAGGTAGACAAGGGCCTTGCTATCACTCAAATTTTATAAAATTCTAGGACAAATAATGTGTCGCTAATGAGCTTTATGTAGGGAGATAACATGCTAAGGCGTACATCTTATAAGAATTATTCACACTGCCATATGGAGAATACATGAGAGAAATTTTACTAGGAAGATTACTAAAAGGCTGCTTTAGCTGATAATTAAAGGAGCATTCATTATGCAAAAATTCCAATTTCTCACTTAAAGATGGAAACAGCCTTCTGAATAGGCCTTGTAGTCTGGCGATTTTTGGCATAAAATTCAAGATACATAATAATCTACAAAGGCATTAGAATCACCCCATAAAAAGGATCTGAGGAGAAGGAAGAAACTTAAGAAAAAACACCTGGAGAGAAAGGAGGTACAGCGAGAGGAAGCCAACTTTTAATATTGCTTTTCTCCTCAAGGTACACGGTAACTCACAACTGTGTGCCCAATTCTCTGAGCAGTAGCAGATTTATCGGCCATTTCAAAAGACTACAGAAGCAGAAGGCCACTAGTGGCAAAGTGAGTTAGTTACATGTTGGGCTACTAACCACACAGTCAGCCGTTCAAAACCACCAGCTTTCTACTCCCATAAATAGTTACAGTCTAGGAAACCCAAAGAGGCAGTTCTGCCCTGTTCTACTGTGTCCCTATGAGTCAGAATCAATTTGATGGTCATGAGCTAGAAACAAACATTGGAGCTCGGGGACTTTCACGAAGAAGTCTTGGTTAAATAACTCCGATTTTTAGAGGTGAATGATGGTAGGCTATATCCTCAGAAGAGGGTTAGAAAACTATGTATATGGGCCAAATTTTGCCTCTACTGGTTTTAATAAAGTTTTATTTGAACACAACTATGTTCATTCATTTGTACACTGTCTAGGATTGTTTTCATGATATTAACAGAGATGAGTAGTTGTGACAGAGAACACATGGCCAGAAAAGTGTAAAATATGCGTTATCTATTAATAGGGGAGAAAAAAACCTCAATCACTTCCCTAGGAGAAAAGCCAGCTGCTACCTAAAATGTCAGTGGTTTGAGTCCACCAGCTGCTCTGTGGAAGAGAGATGCAGCATTCGCTTCCACAGCGATTACAGATAAGAAAACCCCACGGGGCAGTGCGAATCTGTCATAGTGGTGCGGTGAGTCAGAACCCACTGCACAGCAGTAGAAACAGCCTTGGAGGAAAGCAGAAAGAGATAAGACTGAAACTCTGAGTTGAATAAATTTAAACACAATATAGATTACATTGATCCTCTTACCTCCTAAGGATCAAAACTGTGCAAAACAATTTCATCACTCATAGCCAGGATTCTCTACATTTTTTATATATAATGCTTAGTGATCTACAAAAAGATTAGCAGGCATAAAGGAACTATCTTTTCTCCATTAGCTTTAATCCAATTGTTGCACAAACTTTTTGTAATCCTCCTGAAAGATCACCACACGGGAAACTCAAGAGGAAACCCAACAAACACAAATAGAGTCAGAGACGAACAAAACATTAGCTAGAGAATTACAATAGAGAATTGGAATTTAAAAAACAACTAAATTGTAAAATTTTAATT